CTGAAAAGTGTTTTCATAGGCAATAAAGATGCCGATCACCTGTCATAGTTCATAAAGTCAGGAGGAGCTGTCCCTCCATCTGGGGATGAACGGGGAGCTTTATAACCTGACGTGTGAATCTTTATTTCCACCTGTAGCATTCACTCCTAGAAACAATGTTCCCAATATCCTCCCACTGGCTATTCTGGGCGTCCGTCTATTGATACAATTCTCTAAGTGTTCTGATTGAAATGTATGTAGGTCAACCTTGGCCCTCCAGCTGTAATGAAACAAACCCATCACTCCTCTGCCCGTGGCTGTCAGTCTTGCAATGCCTCATGGGACATGTAGTTCCACAACAGCTTTGATGGCACGGTAGCATAACCGTGTGTGTTTACTGCAAAGCAAACAGGGCGTTTGCCTGGAGCAGCAATTTGCAAGGGGGCTGCAAAATATGCTGCCCCAAATCGGAGGGGAAAGCTGGTGCCGGGTGCACAAAATCAGACAGCCTCGGCTGCCTAATCAGGTGGCTGCTGGGTGAAAGAGGAGGCGGGGCCGAGGGAGATACGGCCCAGCCGGTGGAGGCTACAGGCGATTTTGAGGAAGAAGCTTCTGCGGCTCCAGGTTGCGGGAAGAATTGGCATGTCCTGGAAGCAGGCTGGGGAGCTGCAGGTAAGAGGAGCAGCATGTGTGCAGGGAATGGGACCCCTGCGCAGCCCATCATGGACAGTCAGGTAGGCTGTGCAGGGTTTCTGGTGGGGTTTGCGGGGACTCAAATGGGCTGTGCAGGGTCTTTCATCATCTCAGCCTGAGACCCTGCAGAGCCCACCAGAGATCCTTTACAGCCCACCTGAGACCCCGGCTTCCCTGCAACGCTAAGTGCAACCTGTCAGAAGCTGTATCCAGAGACTGACAGGTTACGCAAAATGTCATTAAGGGTTGCGACAAATTTAGATGGGTGGCTGTGGTTGTGCTGCGTTTCATCTTGCCTAGGGAAGCATGAAACCTAAATACACTGCTGCTATGGGGACTGGTCTAGCAGATGGGTGGGACAGAGGATCAGGTGATTATATTCTTTAGTTTCATCCCTAGAACAAAAATGTGCACTTAACTCTTGCATTCGGGATAGCCCCACTGCAAGGGTTAATTTGAACACCTCCTGCAGTTCTTTCAGGCACTGACCTGACGCAAGCTCACATCTTAATCTATTTAAGTTAGCAATTTTCAAAGGTTTTGAATCCAAAGGTTTAGAATGAGTTGGCAATGGCAGCCTCCATGAAGCTTCGGGTGAGGTTTCCTTAAGTTTGAATGGACATTGGTAAGATAAATGCTCTTTTCATGCCAGTGATGGGGTTATGTAACACGGTGGAGACAAAGCTTGGACAGGTGAGTGGCAGGCAGTCCTTTCTTTCAGGAGGCTGGGTCTTATGAGGGTGACAGGTTGTGGCTAGAAGCGTTTATGTAACCATTGTCACTAGGCTACCGAGGTGTGGTGAATGTGTTATGTTTGACATTTCCTGAGGCTGTATTACTAGCGTCTAGTTCTGGATCTATTTATATCTGACCTTCCTGATGTACCTGTACTGATCTCAATGACTTTGTGGTTGATAATGGCTCTGAATGGCAGCCATGTCTGTGGGAGGAGGGCTATTATGGGATCCCAATGCCTCTAACAGCCCTATGCATGTGGTAGAATAAAGCATGGCTGCCCCTGTGTGTTTCAGGACCAGTGGTGACAGGCTTTCATTTGATTCAAACCGGTTTTACATTCCCATAAAAGCCGATGGCAATTCAAACCCGAGTCAGGAGCTAAGCTGCAAGTCAACTGCACATGTCAAAGCCCAAAGCCAGAGGACACGGGGCCCGGTCAAAGCTATTAGCAGTAGGCACAGTAAAGCATGCCTCAATTCTTCACCAATTGTGGTAACCGGTGAGCACGTGGAGCCAATTGGTTGAAATTTTACCAAAATCTTGCTTACTGGGCTTTGTTGGATTCACCCAGGTGCATAATGCCAGAGACTTGTTTCTTTTCCATGCTGAGGTAGAGCAGTGAGCGTGTGAATGCTGCTAAATCTCCTCAACGTGTCCACTAAAGAGGGGGAACAGAAGGGAGCTTCAACTGTATTGAATGGGACTTGTAAAGTACTTCCTGTGTACTCGTTCCTCCTCAAGACTCTAGGTGCTCAGTTGGTAATTATCATTTCTGGTTAATTTTAGCTTCAGGGTTAAGTTGGGACGACTATAGCAAAATGTTAGTCTATGTATGGGGAAAGAAGGTACAGCATGTACATTACTGATGTAGGTGTGCTAGGCTTATTACAGTATTGACAAGCACAAAGGTGCAGTTGTCCTTCAAAACCAACTGGGCCAAAAGTCAAGGTGCCATGTACTGCCAGGGTTTAGAATTCTAGGAGGCTCAATAGAATACAAGGCTTAATTTATGGAGTAGGGCACTGCTAGGTTCCTGTACGGTTGCCTCAAATTTGAGGGTTCACTTTAAAGCAGATGTTGCAGAAACCAATTACCCTCTTATTGATTAGCCCCATGTGAGGTGCTTGCTGTGGAGGTCACTTGGCCTTCCTGTGAGAAAGTGGGAGGGTCCACAAATAAAATCTACAAAAGCTCCCTGCATTTTGTTATATCGGGTGGGGGATTGGATTCATTTTACTGCATGGTTGCTTTACATGTCGCATGCAATATTACTCTCTAGTGGCATTCTGTTGAAAAGCAATGGCATGTTGCATGTCTGCGGCAGATGAGGCAGGTTGGATCATGAAGCTGTGAGTGTAACTGACCATCACTTACAATTTCACCACTGCTTTCTATAATAAGCTTAGCCATACACTAAGCAGCGCTTTGCAATTGATATGCCCAAGTGATGAGTAGTTATTTTGCTAGCTGGATGAAGGACTTCGTACTGAGGGTGTTTGAGCCAACCTAGCCAAGCAAAAATACACAAGGTAGACCCAACATTCATAGTGACTTGTTACACTAGCGAGCCAATTGAGGACAGGCAGAGCTCATAGTCTCAAAGATCTTCAAGTCATGGGTAGCCTGAGCATTCCCTTCAGAAATGGCTGAGCAGTCTGCTTTAAATACAAATTGCAATGTTGCCTAACCACTTTTAGTGATGTAGAGTAGACCACGTGTCAAACTCAAGGCCCAGGGGCCGAATCCAGCCCACCAGGCCATTTCCTAGACTTCTACTTTCAGATGTAGGTATTAAGTTATTACTAAAACCAGTGATAATCGAATGCAGAGGCAATTGTGATTAAAGATTAGATGCATTTTTATATAGTCTTAAGGCCGTGACACACTGCAGGCAAAGCAGCGCGGAGCGGTGGCGCGCTGCCTTTGCGAGCAGTGTGTCATGTAATTTTCTCCTCGGCATGTCAGCTTGTGACAACTCGCGGAGCTGAGCGTGCCGAGATGAACAATTTCAACTTCAGCCAATCGGCTCGATTGTTACGGACGAGCCGATTGGCTGAAGGTGCTGTCAATCATCTGACTGCACTCAGCTCACACACTGCACGCAAAGCTCCGTGCCGGATAGCTTTGCTTCGCTCTGCACGGCTTCGCGTGCAGTGTCACGGCCTTTACAGATACTTTTGAGGGCAACCATAATGTTGATGTTGTCCACGATTAAATTGAGTTTGACACTCCTGATGTAGACCAATGTTACAAAAAAAAAATACTTCTTGTACTTGCAGGAGTGATAAATCCCCAAACTGTTTTATTTCTCAGGGTTTTTGGTGGTGAGATGTGTGCTGAATGTCACAGGTCTGCACTCCTGTCACTGCAGGACTAAGTCTTGCTTTTCTGGTTGGGTTTTGTGAAGGACAGTATAGTGGAAGGAGTGACTCAAAGATGGGTGTACTCTATCTTGGGGAACTTTCTTATTTTATTTGCCACAATAAGAAGCAAGACTCAGCTAAAGTATTCCTTCTCGGTGGACACTTCCCCCTCACAGATATAATGCATTTATAGAAAGTAGCCTTGATTTGAGTCATTATAAGAATATCAAACTGTTCTTAGTGACAATAGGAGTGTTCACTGTCCTCTTACCACTGCAATGTGGGGGAGTGAAAGGAGGAAAGTTGGCGCTATAGGCTCAAAGTGTGACTGTCTCTCCTCCAGATCCACTTCTGAGGTGCAGTGCTGGCTCACTGTTGCCATATAGAACATTCTTTGAACAAGGTACTGAACATGTTGCTGCCCCTAGTATATTGGTGGCATTACTGTTCTTTCCCATGTTCTGCAAATCCTAAAATGTGGATCCAAAATTGGTTTAGTCATATGGTGTGACTTTAAACCAGACCTATTGTCCGCTAGAGTAGAGCGTACATGGAACGGCTCCTTTTTTGAAGTTTGGAAGCTATTGGAGTAGCATGAAGTCCAAATAACAGGCATTTTCAGAAGGGGAGGCTCAAGAAGGGTAGCGTCCATAGGTCTCGGTACAACTTTTTCCTTACAATGAAACCATGTGACTTTTGTAGGTCAGTAGTAATGTAGTTGGGGGTTTCGGTGTTTTAACAGTTCATTAACACAATTTTTTATTTATGGAGTCTGAGATTAGGTTTTATAATGCGTGCTAGATTCAGTTTTATGCTACTTTTCTGGTCATCACAAGTACAAAGGGTTAGATGATGACCGCTTTCTAGTCAAATGCAGGAACCAGTTTAAAGCATATCCAAACTGTATAAAAAGAGCAGATCGTTAATTTTTTTTGTGTTTTTTTTTTTTTCTTTTAGTGGAGCCTGAGGGTACCAGCCCAAGGTAAGACTCTTCTAATATGGTTACAGGGCTTGAGTTTCTTAATTTTAGACTGTTCTTCCACAATCATGACGATCCATGACTTCCTCTCCCGCAGTGCTGGTTCCTGCAGATTATGGGGTCATCTTGGCCCCTAAAATGGGTAGATCAAAAAATGCATACCACATCGTCATGTCATGCCCTGCTGTAACCTCTATGGGTAAAGTTGCAATGATGGCTCAGTAGGTTCAGCTCTACAATGCTGAAGCTTACAGATTCTTAATGTTGCACAAAGCCAAGCTTGGTTATATACTTGGGTCTTGCATGGGTCTATCCTTTTGGCACGGGTGCTGTCATTCCGCTTACACCACTGCAGAACTACATTTACTTCCGTGAAATGCATTACATTTCCAAAAGAATTGTACCTTGGTGCAACAGTTTTTAAAAATCTACTGTCAGCATATAGTTACTAGAACTCAGTGACCTTATCAAGACATGGGGTATGACCCATTGAAACAAATCTGTGATGTTCTGGATATTTGCCTGAAAAGACAATAAAACCTAGAACCAATGAATGTCCTGTTTGGGTTGTTGCTAATAGGCTGATTTGCTTAATGGGTTCTTGTTTGATTCCACTCTACTCCACCCAAATTCATGTAATAGGAATAAAAAGAAATCCCTGCTAAACTGAAGTATTTCACTCATACAGTGGATCCTCTGTTTGCAGGGTTCAGAAAACCTCTAATCAGCGGAATGGGGGTGCTCTGAGCAGACTGTATTTGGGGCTTGGCAGTCTAAAGTTTTTACTGTTACATTTGCTACGTAATTTATAGATTGGGAGAACATGGCGGGTTTTAAATACACAGCAGTATGTGTTCTGACAGACTGATCTGTTCTCTATGAGGGGAGGGTCAAAGTCCTGGCCACATGTATGCAAGGGAAGATTTGGTTTTCTACTGCTTCTAGGAAAATGAATCATTGGCAATGGAGGTGCGTGTGTGTTAGTGAGACCCTGGTTGGTTCTTTAAACACTCTTTATAGTGCTTTTGTATATACACTGCCCCACTAAAAGTCACAAACATTTCATTGGACCGCCTTTAGATTTGATTACGGCACGCATTCACCATGACATAATTTCGATACGCTTCTGCGATGTCACAACATTTTATCTTTTAGATTGTAAGCCCTCACGGGCAGGGCCCTCCTTACCATCTTGTCTTAAATTGTATTGTGACTGTAATGTCTTCCTTATATTGTAAAGCGCTGTTCAAACTATTGGCGCTATATAAATCCTGTATAATAATCAAAAGTTGCATTAACTTTTCACCAAGATCTTGTAGTGGTGATGGGAGAGTCGGACCTGTGTAAAGTCTTCTCCAGCACATCCCAAAGATTCTCAATGGGGTTAAGGTCTGGACTCTGGTGGCCAATCCATGTGTGAAAATGTTGCCTCGTGCTCCCTGACCCACTCTTTCATAATTTGAGCCCCTGACTCCTGGCATTGTCATTTTAGAATATGCCCAATGTGCCATCAGAGTAGAAAAAAATCAATTGATGGAAAAACCTGGCCGCTCAGTATATACAGGAAGGCAGCTATATATTTTGGTGGGGACATAACATTGCTGAACCTAGACCTGACCAACTGAAGCAACCCCAGATCATAACACTGTCTGAAATCCAGGTCACTTTTTTTGACTGGGCAGTGTATGTTTATAGTTGGGGCTAAAATAGTCTGAAAACTAAGACTGTGCTACTTACCTGTGTCTGTTTGTGTAGGTGCATTAATACATTTTTATTTTTCATTTTAGTTTCAGCAGTTAAAGAAGGACCTGGAAAAACGGTTCCCAGGGCTGCTGAAAATTGTAAGTTCACATTCCTGAAGTCTAAATTGTGTAAACTATTGAAGTATGGCAGTAAACCTCCTAATCTGGGTAATTTATTTCAGGATGGCGAAGGTACCCCAACTGCTACAGGATGGCTTGAAGTGAAGGTTAATGGAAAGCTTGTGCACTCCAAGAAGGTAAGGGAAGTCCTAATTCTGCTAGGCTTCATTTGGTCGCTACAGGTTTCTTTAGTTGGAAGGTTATCCATATACTGCTGAAAGGTGGCACAGGGTGGTGGGTCCAGAATATAGTAGAAATGTTTTGGTCTGCACCGCGCTTATAATTACTGTGAACATTTGGCCTACAGAATCTAAAGCCTCATGGTGGACCTAGAAGGCTGTAACGTGCCACCTCTAAATTGGCATCCCCTACTGTTCTCTAAAAGTTCCATACACTTCTCAAAACATTTTTCTTAACATTGAACTCCAGGAAAAATACCTGAATTGGGGCTTGGTAGGACCTCTTTATAATCTTCTGTACAGTGAACTCAAACTGGAAGAGGGCACATGAGTGGGTGAGTGGGTGAGTGGGTGAGTGGGTGTGTGGGTGAGGGGGGGGGGGGGGGGGGGGGCGTGCAATCAGGTGTGTTCTATGCACATGTGCTGACTTTCTTACTGCTTCTCATTGAGTTTCCATAGGCTGTGGCTCAGCAGGTGACCTAGCATATCTGCTCAAAGTGGAGCTGAAGTGGATTTTCAGATCTCCCATCTGTTGTGCAGCACCTGGGATTCTCTGTTCTCTTGGTTTCAGCTCCTCTGAAAGCACAGTACAGAGGTTATAGGCTTTCCACACCTTACCAGTATGTTGTCATTCTCCTACATGACGCAGTGATGGTCAATGGCTGTAATGCCAATGTGGCCCTCCCAGTCCTGCCCTGTGTGCTTCCATCTCATTTGATTGACTGTTGCCTCTTTTAAAAACAGTTACAAGTGGCTTTTGCAGGAGACCTCCTTGTAGTTTATGAAACTGCTCCCAAACATTTTTTTTTCTCTTTACCTAGATTTTAACTTTAACACTGCAGTAGGAGGTTATGCTGATGAGACCCGGGGTGGTAGGAGAATGCATCGCTGGCTCTAACATGGTAGTGGGCAGGATTTGGTAGAGAGCAGATATGAGATGCATCTAGAAGTGGCATAAAACCATGAGCAAGAAATGATACGGATATAGGGCTACAAAGTTTTCCCCTGCATGTGGGGGCTCTATGGCCTTCATCCATATTCTAAGGGCTCACTGCCCATATGTGAGCTATAGATATTTTATTAAACTTTTTTTTTTCCTCCCATATCCACTAGAACGGCGATGGCTATGTGGATAAGGAGTCCAAGCTGATGAAAATTGTGGCAGCAATTGAGGCTGAATTGAAGAAATGATGGCGTTAGGGACGTGGGGCTAACTACAGCTTGAGCAGTGATGGTAAGTTATGCTGAGGCTTTGGTCCTCGTGTACAGAAGCTTGGAAAGAAGTGTTGCCTAGGGCGGCTAATCTGATTCCAGATGTTGGGCAAATACCACTATGGGTTTTGTTAGAGACTTGATGTCCAAACATGGAAGTTATTATACAGACGCATGTGCTGACCTACTTTTACTTATATTCCAGAGTTATTGCCTTCCAGACCCCCCCCCTCCCACCTCTGAAATGTATTGGCACCTACAGGTGGAGCACAGTAATATGGAGCACCTGCTAGGATACAAATATACAGTGTCCACCTGTTGCGTTTGCTCAATCATGAGACATGATGACACGTGACAATCATATTTATCCTTGATTTACTAGAATTGCCCAACTCGCACAAGGATGCACCCAGTAAAGGGTGGAGGCCTCTGTTGCATGCACTTATTTTGGTGTGGTGTCTCGCAAAGTCAAGATTAGAACAAACGGAGGTGTCACCAGAGTCCAAAGGAGATTTTATTGCTAAAAGCATCAAAGAGTGCCGATGTGTTTTGGGGACAAATGTAGAACCTCTATCAGGGCTCCAAGTGCTCTTTCAAAAGGGGAATACCTGGACTTGGAGAAAGTTGCACTGATGGTGACCACAAATGAGGACTCATGCAGCAGTCGGCAATGCAACTCTTCTTTGTTTTGGTTGCACCTCCCCTTTTTTGTATGCGCTTAACATGGGCTTTTATGTGTGTATGCGTTTTGTAGTTCAGTGCATTTCAGACCAGGCAAAATGAGACATGCAGTATTTCTGGTCTGGAACAGACTGCGCTGGTGTGAACAGAGGCCAGAAATGGCATAGGGATGCATTTTGTGTCTGGAAATTGTCTGGATGTGGTGTGAATGGGCCCTTAGCCAGAATAGGCAACCCTGGCATGCCAGCTGTGCTGAGACTACTATTTGCTTCTGGAGTTCTGAGGTGGATTACCCCTGGCCTAAGCAAATATTCCCACAACCTCCTCACTATCATCCGTGACCTCAGTTTCATTTTCTAATGTTGATTCTCCGATTTTCCACATTTTGGAAGGATTTCATGCAGCTGAACTTGAAAGAATCGCTGGCATTTGGGTTAATTTGAAGTGAACAATGTTCTTGATTGAATATTTTGAATAAATGCCTCGCGGCACGAGAACGGCGTGGTTGCCTTCTGTAGCTTGAATGTCTTCATAATCGGCCTTATGTATGAAATGGAGGGGACTTCTGACCCGGGCCTGCACTCTTGCACACAGACGCATTATGCTGATTCATAGGAACATGGAAATTTAACTATATCCGGTTTGAGATTATGGACACTAATACACAAACCACAAGGCCCCATATCTGTAGGTTAAAGGTGCCCATACACTGTACGAGAATCGCGGGAAATCCTGCGATCGTACGAGAATCGTACAGTGTATGGAAGGCGTGCGACAGTTTCTACTGTACGGTCTCTACTGTACGGTCGCATGTCTTTTGTTGAACAAACGTGCTCGAAAACCCGCCGAGAATCGTACGATTGTCGGTGGGTTTCTAGCCTGCTCGTCCGATAGCTGCGGAATGGGCCGGTGTGCGCACACTGCCCGTTCTGCATTGCGGTCATCGGAAGCCCGCCCCTCAGCGGGGCAGGCTTTCGATGATCGCAAGTACGATCTGCCCGTCCAAGATGGGCAGATCGTACGAGCTTTCAATAAGCATACGACCATCGCAAGACAAAAGTCTTGCGATGGTCGTAAGGTGTATGGGCACCTTTTTAGATGTGATCTAGGGATTCCTGTGTCAGGAACTTGCGTTTTTCCTGCAGCAGGAATCCCTAATCTGGTGTTTACAAGCAGCAGCTGTCACCCGTTCAAGTTAATAATCAGGTAACCGCAGCTTCATGTAAACGCCTGCCCACGGCATGTAGTGGTATGTGATATGATTACATTTGGTTAGGAATCGATTACTATCCCCGGACGCAATGATTGCGCATCCAGGGAGTGTTGTCTAACCGCATGTAGTAATATCACATACCATTACATGCAGTGTGCGGGCGTTTACATTCAGCTGCTGTCACCTGATCATTAACTTGAACGGGTGACAGCTGACGCTTGTAAACATCAGATTAGAGATTTCTACTGTAGGGGAAAACGCAAGTTCCTGACTCAGGAATCCCTAATCACACCTAAACTTGCAGGTGTGAATGTTGCCTAATACACCCCCTACGTACACATAAAGATACTTCCCCCCCCCCCTGCACAAATAAAATACACCCCCCTGTACATACACAAAAAAAATACACCCCCCCTGACACACATAAAATAGCACTGCCCAGTCCCCCCTGCACAACCACATGTAAAATGTAATACAGAGCCCCCTCCTCTTTTTGCAGGGAGAAGGCACGATCCTTGGATTGATTGGTGCGGGCCACATAGTACCGGCTCGTGGGCCACAGGCCGGTACTTTGAGACCACCGCTCTAACCTGTTCTTGTTGAGCTCCATCCCTTACACAGGGCTACGGGTTGGCAGGTAGAAGGACCATGACCAACTATAGCAGGAAAAGTTCAGATTTGCATAGAACTTTAGCTGCCTTGATCCTTGAATTAAAGAATCATTTTGACATTTTTTACAGACTGTACGGTTTCTTATCAAAGCTGTTCTCTACCCCTACCCTCAGTCTTGTACAGTTGTACCAGCTCCTCTCCTGGACTCAAATGGCTTCCTCCTTTTTTTTTTTTTTTTTTTTCCCCACCCTGCGAGCTTCTGACAATGCATTAGAAGCGGCAGCAGGTCGGAGGCTGCCTCATTCCTAGCTGGAGGACATTCGGCAGCATCAAGCTCTTTCTTGGCCCACCACTTCCATTGGATTTAAATGTTTAGTCCTGAAGGCTCCGTGTCACATGTGGGCAGTCCATGTCCATGCAGCCTGCCTAGCAATGCCCACTCCTTCAGACTGAGATCACCCATCAAGGCATCTTGATATTTGCATAGCTCCTCCCAAAAGCTAGCCCGCTGCTTATATTAGGGCTGAGGGCTCTTGAGAGAAGAGTACTGAGGCAGGGTGAGGCAGAAAAGCTATGTACAGCACCCTGCTGACTCCTCCCACCATCCATTAATCTGCCTGCATTGTGCAGAGACCCAGTGATGGCATTTCCTGTTCAAAATGAAGTGTATATAATGTAAACTGGCTTTATATAAAAATGTTGCTGGAGGAACCAGGAAAGGCAAAATATAAGCAGATTAAACTTCCGTTTCTATTTAAAAAAGAACTGCAGGCAAACTTTCTTTACCTTTTTGTAGTGGGGCTACCCCAGCACTGCAAGGGTTAAGTGCTCACTTTTGTCTAGGCATTAAAATAAAGTTGTTTGCCTGATCCGCAGAGCCGGTGTGTGCTTGGACCGGTCCCCTGAGCCTGATCCGCAGAGCCCGTGTGTGCTTGGTCCGGAGCCTGATCGGCAGAGCCCGTGTGTGCTTGGTCCGGAGCCTGATCGGCAGAGCCCGTGTGTGCTTGGTCCGGAGCCTGATCGGCAGAGCCCGTGTGTGCTTGGTCCGGAGCCTGATCGGCAGAGCCCGTGTGTGCTTGGTCCGGAGCCTGATCGGCAGAGCCCGTGTGTGCTTGGTCCGGAGCCTGATCGGCAGAGCCCGTGTGTGCTTGGTCCGGAGCCTGATCGGCAGAGCCCGTGTGTGCTTGGTCCGGAGCCTGATCGGCAGAGCCCGTGTGTGCTTGGTCCGGAGCCTGATCGGCAGAGCCCGTGTGTGCTTGGTCCGGAGCCTGATCGGCAGAGCCCGTGTGTGCTTGGTCCGGAGCCTGATCGGCAGAGCCCGTGTGTGCTTGGTCCGGAGCCTGATCGGCAGAGCCCGTGTGTGCTTGGTCCGGAGCCTGATCGGCAGAGCCCGTGTGTGCTTGGTCCGGAGCCTGATCGGCAGAGCCCGTGTGTGCTTGGTCCGGAGCCTGATCGGCAGAGCCCGTGTGTGCTTGGTCCGGAGCCTGATCGGCAGAGCCCGTGTGTGCTTGGTCCGGAGCCTGATCGGCAGAGCCCGTGTGTGCTTGGTCCGGAGCCTGATCGGCAGAGCCCGTGTGTGCTTGGTCCGGAGCCTGATCCGCAGAGCCTGTGTGTGCTTGGTCCGGTCCCTGGAGCCTCTCTCCGCTGCAGTGGTCTAAGGTCCCTGAGTCATCACGTTCTACAGTCTATAGGACTTAAGGATGCCAAGGGAGATATCATGGCTGGAGCGTAGGAGAGGGAGTGCTGTCACAGCCAGCCGGCTCTGAGGGTTGGGTGAGTAACTGTGGTTTTTTCCCACCTAGGCAAAAATGAGCACTTAACCCTTTGTAGTGTGGGGGTAGCTCCACTGCAAGGATTCAAAAAAAATTTCCCCCTGAGTTCTTCCTTTTATGATTTGCTTCAATTGCTCCTAATATATTTTCGGTCTGTTCTAGGTGGAAGGATCTTTGCTTCTTTCATCTTTTCCGAACGCTTCATGACGGGAAAAGTTAAAACGCCACCAGGCGAGGCGGCTCCCAGATAAACTGCGATGGTGTGACTCAAAATACCTGTGTAAGAAGCCTCAAATGGAAGCTGGCACTAGACATGAGCTTGATGCAGCAGCATCGCTCATGGTGAAGGTGGAAGGTACAAAGCTGGGGCCCACTAATTAAGTGACAGTGCTGGTGTCCTGTGTGTGAGGGCACTACAAGGGTCAGCAGTCCCTGTTCATTAAATGGCCAGGGACTGCTGACACTTGTCGTGCCCTCACACACAGGACACCAGCACTGTCACTTAATTAGTGGGCCCCAGCTTTGTACTGTGGCATGCATCAGGGTTAAAATCATTAATATTATTATGCTCCAAATCCCATGAATGCATCTGCTTCTAGAAGTCATTCCTGTGGCTATTGGTCTTGCAATGCCTAATGGGATTTGTAGTTCCACCACAGCAAGGAGAGGGCTACCTCCTGGTACCAAATCCCTAATTTATGTATTGCTATATGGGTCCTAAAGTGGGAAACTGTTGGCAGCCCTTTGTCTGGCTTCTTGATGAACCGGCCCCAATGCGTTCAGTAGGTGGCACTTTTGGCAGCTTCTCGCCTGATATCCTTTGATCACAAAAATCAAAGGAGCCGAGTGAAATATTGTCAACTGAATACTAACAGCTGCCAATTGGTTGCAGTCACTGGTCGTGTATTCTGACAGCTGCATACCCACCACTGTTAGTCTTTTCCACCAGCAGTGCCGTAACAAGTGGTAGCACCATTGCAGGGGTGACACCAAAATGACTGACACTCAGTTTTGAGACCGAGAGCCCAACAGTGTCAGGAGAGAGGCAGGGACCCGGTGGCATACCTCATCCCACTGGGTGTTTCAGGGGTCCAGACCAGCTGACAATGGTGTTGTGTGAACAGCACTGGAAATGCTGCAATGTAATAGAACATAATGGAATGCACATTGGAACATTTTGTTATAACGTTATTCATTCTGCCATCTCCCTCAATCAGTGGAGAGTTGTGCTGCTGGTTCAGCAGAGTTCAGGGGGGAACCAAACGGTAACAAATCAGGCAATTTTATACTTGACAGGCTGAAAATTTTTACGCATATGGAATACATTTTGACGACAATGCATACAGTACACTCATTGTATTATGTAGCATTTTCCAAATGGGCATATTTATTGGGCATGACCCCCCCCCCCCCCCCCCCCCATTTAAAAAAAAAATAGGTTATGAGATGACATGTTCTGTAAACTTTTATCTTTCAGCCATCTGGGGCTACCACAGCATTTTACCGGGACATAAACCATTTAATAAAGCTCCACCTGGAGGGGTTAATATATCAAACTGAAGCTACAGGGTATCATTCTAGTGAGGACATAGATGGTTCATGTATTCATAGTGCTGTTATGGAGTGATGGCATCTCGGTTGTCACCCTCGGTATAAGAGAGCACCAGCACTCACAAACTTCATAGTCTGAATTTTTGTTTCTTATTGAACATTTGTCATCAAAGCCAACATTTCGGGGCCATGCAGGGTCCCTTCATCAGGGTGTTGTCTATGTTGCCCTGATGAAGGGACCTGCATGGCCCCAAAATGTTGGCTTTGATGTTGCATGTGACAGGTGTTTTAATAAAGAACAAAAATTCACACTTTAAACCTTTTGAGTGTTTGATCTTCTATGCAATGCCTTGAGATTACATAGTGCCATCTGTATTATCACTGCGAGCACCACAACTGTGGAAGGATATAACGCCATATGGAGCGCAGCTGATCTACTACAAAACGATCAGTTGTCACCCTGTCCCATGCCCCCTGGTTAAGGTTACAAGCAGACATTCAGACACTTTGCACAGGCATGGCCCATAGTCTCCAGCAGGAAGTCTATCTAGGGTAGTGATGTTTAGCAGAGTGTGAGTGCATGTAGATGGGAATGAATTGACTGCAGTAGATCAGCAGCACTGAGGTGTGTGTAAAAGTTCATGGTACTAGAACACGTCGGTTGGTTAACCATTAACCTGCTGGTCGTTATCAGTTTAGGGGAAGAAACTAAAGTACGTGCAGAGTAGTCACACGCACATTATATTGGTTGGAATCGATAAAGGTAAATAGTTTACATGTGAGTGGAAATTCGGGTCAGGAAGATGGCTAGAGTGGTGTGGGAAGCACAGACTCGCAGAGGGAAAGAAGCAGAAGCAAGAGTGAGATGCTTGCACAGTGAGCCAAACAATGGTGACATCATAACCTCATGAGACCAGCAGTAAGAAGCAGCTTAAATGATCTCACACTCCAGCTATAGAGGCCACTGCCATCAGGGAATACCGTTTCCATAAAGGGGTGCACTTGGTCAGCAACAATGTTGAGGTAGGTGGTGTCAGTAACATCCACATGAATGGGAGGACCCAAGGTTTCCCTGCGGAGCAAATGCCCAAAGCATCACAATGCCTCTGCCACCTTGTCTTATTCTTCTCATAGAACATCCTGGTGCCATCTCTTCCCCAGGTAAGACACATACACCCACACCCCTACACCTGGCCATCCACATGATATAAAAGAAAATGTCATTCATCAGACCAGGCCGCTGCCTTCCATTGCTCTGTGGTCCAGTTCTGATGTTCATGTGCCAATTGTGGGTGCTTTTGGGGGTGGACACAGGTCAGCATGGGCACCCTGACTGGCTACGCAACCAACTGCAATGCACTGTGTGTTCGGACACCTTTCTATCGGAACCAGCTTTAACTTTTTCAGCAAATTGAACTACAGTAGCACTTTTATTGGATCGGACTAAACAGGCCAGTTTTCGCTCCACTTGTGCATCATGACCCTGTTGTGTGTTCACTGGTGTTCCTTCCTTGGACCACTTTTGGTCGGTCCTAACCACTGCAGACCAGGAACATCCCACAAGAGATGCAGTTCTGGAGTGGCTCTGACATAGTCTACACATCACAATTTGGCGTTTGTCAAAGTCGCTCAAATATTTACACTGCTTCCAACGCATCAACTTCAGTGACAAAATGTTCACTTGCTGCCTAATATATCCCCCCACTTCCAGGGGCCATTGAAAACCAGATAATTTGTTATTCACTTCACCTCTCAGTGGTCATAATGTGCTGATCCGTGTAGGTCACAAGTGAAACCAATTGGTAAGCTAATTCTAAGACAGAGACACATTTATTAAGCAACTTGGTGACAAAATGACATGCAAATTATCCTGCCTCAAACTGAGTAAAACCCCTGGGCCGGAAACCTTAAGCACCTGAGACAGATTTGCAAAAGTCTGAGATTTGGCGAAGATGACGACCTGTATTGAGCAGAAGTACAATAAGTGGTTACCAGGGGTGTAACTAGAAATTGGGCCCCATAGCAAAATGTTATATGGGGCCCCTGCGATTTCTAGTTATTCCCCTTGCAGAGCCCACCATAGAGTCTCTATGGTGGGGTCTCAGGTGGGCTGGTCACACCCCTGCACACCTCTTACCTGTCAGCCCCGATCAACTGTCCACGGGCGATGGCGGGCCCCACTTCCTCCTCCGCTGCCGTGGCTGGACCCAGCCTTCTCCACTGCTGCTGCCTGTCACTGACTCCGTATTGGCTGTGAGGAGGAACTTGCCGCTGAACAGATCACTGACAGGTTGTCAGTGATCTGAACAGTGGCGCATTCCTCCTCAGAGCCGCCAGTGATAGCCAGCAGCCTGCGATGCCATAGCGACCCAGGCGGCCTGCACGGCATCAGGAGAACCCCTTTGTGCCTCGTCCTGGTTGGGCCCCATAACGGCCGCCTGGGTTGCTATGGCGATTGTTCTGCTACTGTTGGTTACATCAAGTTTATTGTAGTGCAGTGCTTCTTTGGAACATCGGAGTGGGGTAATTTATGAAGATATAAGAAGATGGCCTGTATTGAAAAGAAGTACAATAAATTAGTGAATGGGTCAGATTTATTATGTTGCAGTTCTACTTTACACAGTGGAGGCGGTCATTTATGAATCAATCTCTACTCATCTTATAATAAAGCTCACTGCTCCTGTTCAGCATTGCCTTGCTGTACTATAGAATCGATAAATATTCCCCATTGTATCTGTGTGATAACAGAAATAGCAAATTCACTCCTTTTAGAAGTAAATAGTGTAAGGTAGAAATCAAAGAATTCACATGTACGTATTTTCAGGGTCTTTAGCTACAGCTCCATAATTCAGCAGGTAAGTAACAGAAGATGTATTGCAAGCAATCAACTATGGCATACTAAAATTGGAAGGGTAAGTATTATAACTTGAGTGCAGGGTGCCATTTTCTTTTCTAGTAACGCTCTAAAGAGAAGGAATAGACAATATCTAGGGAAATGTTCCACTCAGCAAGCATGGAAGAGATATATGACACTTTTATATTTGACTTTACTGAAAAATCCTTTTCTCTACATTGATGTCAGGCGGCACGGGAAGACTCATGACCGGTCTAAGTGTCATTCTAAGAAGCCCTGCACTCATCTTTGCCCTCCAGCCAGAAGTGTGAATACTGGTAGTGCAAGGATCTAAAAAAAATAAGGTTCTATGGGTAAGTGAATTAATTGCGTAAAGGTACATTGAGGCTAAGCATGGTCACATCCTGAGCCCCCAAAATCCACCCCCCACTTACCTGAATTGCAGGGTTCTCCTCCCTGCAGGCTGCTGTAATGTTTTGAATGTGGTAACACAGAATAAAAATGGCTATATACTGAGCTATAAGAGACACACAACACACAGAATAAAATGGCTATATACTGAGCTATAAGAGACACACAACACACAGAATAAAAATGGCTATATACTGAGCTATAAGAGACACACAACACAGAGAATAAAAATGGCTATATACTGAGCTATAAGAGACACACAACACACAGAATAAAAATTAGCTATAAGGAGAGCTGTAAGAGACACACAACACACAGAATGCAAATGGCTATGTACAGAGCTATAAGAAAGTGTTACAACACATGGATGACTTTCCAAAATGTTTGTATGGCTGAAAATTGCCTGTAATTATGGTCTGATTGCTGCAGTCATTTGCGCCGGCCTCCTTTTTACTGACTTGACGTTGAATTTAAAAGTAAAGTTGTGTGTTGCTGCGACTCCCTGCGATTGATAGCTAGCAGCTACTGTAAATGCAATTGATCCCAGGGAACTGCAGGTCGATTGCACATACAGGTGAAACTCGAATAATTAGAATATCATGCAAAAGTAATTGCAGTCATTGCTGCAAAAGGGGCCCAAACCAAGTACATACGCATGCTTGTACTTTTCAGAGGTCCGATATTGTTCTATGTACAATCCTTGTTTTATTGATTGCATGTAATAATCTACTTTTTTGAGGTTGTGGATTTGGGGTTCTTGGGGTTTTCATGAGCTGTAAGCCATAATCATCACAATTATGACAAATCACGGCTTGAACTATCTTGCTTTGCATGTAATGAGTCTATCTCATATATTAGTTTCACCTTTTAAGTTGCATTAGTGAAATAAATGAACTTTGCACGATATTCTAATTATTCGAGTTTCACCTGTACACTTGATTGACGATTGCAATACAAATCAATGGGAAGCAGGCTTGTACAAATGATCGTGGCAATCCACAACCAGCTGTTTTCAAGTTTCAGCCATAGTTTTAGTATAGTCAAGTCCAAAAACAGGGAGTCATAACCAAACAACATGTCTTTAAAATAAAAAAGATCAGCCGCAGCCCGCATGCTGACTAAACCCCCTCAATACAAAACTTAAAAAAAAAAGTTCTGCCTGGGTTTTAGGCTTTAAAGAGTTAGGCATTAAAGAGACCCTGTCACCTTGCCCATTCAGGCCCTAATCAAAGTGTCTTTGCAAAGGGGCCCTCCTGACCATACTTACACTCATCTTTCCAGCAATTCTACGCTCCCCTGTCTTGCTAGGGTCCAGCAGCCAGTCACTAGGCCCAAGTACTTTCACGTGACAGAGGGAGTGAGGTCACTGCGCTCCTTAGCGTCCGACACCATCTGACACTGTGTATTTTTGTGCTAACTGTCACAGAGAAAAGCTTGGTGGAAGAACATTTGGAAAGTGAATATCTATGGGACGCGAGGGGAGCTTTGCAAAAACTTTGTACTGAATAGAGATGAGGCTGAGCTTGGTGGGAACCCAGTTTGCTTGAGTTTGTTCAAGCCCGCTCAAAACTATGGCTGCCACCCCATCCTCCCGACCCACCCAGGTGCAGAGAGGTGCATTCCCCACCCTGCAGCAATATGTCAGGGGAGGAAAAGTGCCCCCGGCGCAACTGTCACCATTGATTGAGCCAGGAGGAGAGGGTTGCAGTCATAGTTCTGACCATGATAGGATGAATTCAGGTGAGCTGGGCACACACCAAGCCTAGGCTCATCTTTAGTCTTGAATAGGGAAGGTGACACTTTCTCCTAGATTGTAAGCTCTCCTGAGCAGGGCCCTCCTAACCCTCTTGTATTGAATTGTATTGTAACTGTACTGGCTCCCCTTTATTTTGTCAAGCGCTGAGCAAACTGTTGGTGCTATATAAAACCTGAATAATAATCTATTTAAGCATGCATTGAAACCAAACAACTGTCTGTGCTTTACGCTTATATTTCTAATGTTGAGCCCTGGGGGCTGAACGAGAGAAATCAGTCCGGTCTCTTCTCCATGCTAAACAGCATGTATGGAGGAATTGCTGTTGTATTCACATAGTCCGCGCCTGTGGCTGTCTGACTACCTGAATAGTACTGGCTCCAGTCACTTGTCATCCAACAATTTTCCACCTGGTTCCTTCGATTCGGCCACCTTTGGCTCAAATTTGGGCCGATTCAACAGGAATCAGACACAATTTGTGCCATGTATGGCAACTTCTAGTCCAGTTGGACAGTTAAACACAGATAGTCATGAAAAAAAATGGACATCATTGACCCCAGGGCTCAAAATTTCAAGTCCTGAGCTACTAGCCAGGCCTTAAGAGTTACTCGCCACCAGTTGCCCCACCTAACCGCAACCCTGCCTCGGCCTTAACTCCGCCCCTAAACCCACCCTCTTAAATTATCTTATGAAATTACACTTTTAAATGTTGAAGGCAGAATAAAGTTACAAAAATAAATATTAACAACAACAAATAAATATTAACAACAACAATATAAATACCCTCCCCTCTGTTCTCTGCCTCCCCCCATATAAAATAATACCCCACCGTTCTCTGCCCCCCACATATAAAATAGTGGAGTAGGACATGGTAGCTGAAAATCTGAAGTAGGGTTGCCACCTTTTGTTCAAGCGAAACCCGAACATACTCTAGCGACGCACTGACGTTTTTTGGGGGAGAACGAGTCGTTGCTTATTCATATGTAATAGAGCCACCCATTACTATGTAAATATCACAGTTGAGACTATTTTTAGTGGCGGGCCAGTAGCCCCTATCTTAATTTTGGTTGCCCCTGTCTGCCTGACAACTTGTGTCCGGGTTTCTGCTGCCATGAAACCCGGACACAGCATTCAAAACCCGGACTGTCCGGGTGAATCCTGGACAGGTGGCAACCCTAATCTGAAGCCGTGTGGCACCTTGGAGCAGTAACATTCTGAGAGAGGTTCTAACCTTTCTTTGCTGTATCCAAAGCTAAAACAACATTACTGGGTTGTGTTCTAGCCTATGAATATCACTTTAGAGCCAGCTGGGCATGCACAATTGCATTGTGGGAACATGCATGCTTATACCTAGGGGAAGGAGAGAGAGGCGCTCTGTAGACTTCTGAGTGCACACTACTTTTGGGGAATAAAATAGAGAATACTTGAGGATCCAACCCAGCTGACCAACTCTCACCAACAATCAGAGAAGGTTTACAATGCCTGATCTAAGGCCTCATTACCAGTGGTTAAGAACAGATGTTTGGCCCTGGACTCAATCTATCTGCATCCAGTGTCGGACAAATGTCCCCAACAGCAGGTAACTGCTGAATGTGCGGATACATGCTTACAGCCCCGGCTCCTTTCAGTCTGTCAGTGAGTTCTGCAGGCCGAGCAGCTGCCGCTGATCAGAGTGCCAGAGATATCAGTAGTATGCTTGCCCCACTATGGCCAATTGTGGGAACATACATGCTTGTGCCTAGGGACAGGACAGAGGGGCACTCTGTAGACCTCTTGGCGCAGACTTCTCTTGGGGAATAAAACAGGGAAGTTGGGAAATCCAACCCAGCTGACTCTCACTAACAGTCAGAGAAAGCTTACAATCCTGTTCTAAGGCCTCAATCACACTTCACATGTATCCATGGTTACCTGCGGTTAGGGACAGATGTGTGGCCCTGGATGCAATCTATCTGCATCCAGGGTCGGACATATGTCCCCAACTGCAGGTTACTGAGTCATTAAGTTGTACAGGCTGAGTGGCCACCACTAATTGGAGCGCCCGGGCCGCAGGTATCTGCAATATACTTGCCGAACAATGGCCAATTTAGGACGTGTGAATGAGGTCTTATTACTGTAAACGGAAAGACAAAGTGAACACTCTTTTCAGGTCATAGGCACCATTTTCCCCAATCTATTCATGCAGTCCTGAACATTCCTGATGGTGGTTGATGTGATTTTATTTGCATCGTAACTTTCTGCCAGTATTGTGTGTGAATTTGAGCTGATTATGCCATTCCAGAGAGGATTTCCTTCCATTTCAGAAACAATAAAACATTTTGTCTAAGAGACTATACAAGGAGTGCTCTGGTACGGCCAGCAGCAGAAAGTGATAGAAAACGTGTATCAACCAGAGCTACGGTATGTCTAAAGCTGCCCGTACATCTGACGATTATCGTATCCGGGTGATCCTACGATCGTACTATAATCGTAAGGTGTATGGGCAGCGTGCAACTGCATTTACTGTACGGTCGCGCGACTTTCGTCTTACGAGCACGCTAGAAAAACTGCCGAATCGTATGATTTTCGGCGGGTTGGTAACGCAAACGCAAGACGAAAGCCGCACAGTCGAGGTGCGCAAGTGCACACTGCCAGCTCACCATTGCAATCATCTGTAAGCCCTCCCCTCAGCGGAGAGGACTTTTTATGATCGCAAGTACAATCTGCCTGTCCAAGATGGGCAGGTCGTACAAACTTTTAATCACCTTACAACTATCGCACAACGAAAGTCGTGCGATGGTTGTGAGGTGTATGGCCAGCTTTATGGTACATTACTTGTCCCCATTAGAGATATCTACCCTGCCCTCATACATACAGGAAGTGACATTAACCTCTTGCCGTCCGCCCGTAGTAAAAAAACGGACGAGTAAACCCTAACAATCAAATTCTCTCATTTGCTTCCCTTTGGTCTGTTCAATATACCACTGGAAGCATTTTGTTCTATCTGTTAACATACCTTTCTCTTGAAGTCTTCTTGTTGGTTCAGTGGCGGCAGCACAGCAGCTTCCTCTCCTTTCTGGCAATGGTGGTGGTGGGGGTGAGGGGGCATTCTTCTAGGACCAGGCATTGCTCAGACCTGGAGTGATGTAGGCGCAACATGCATGATGGCATTCCTCCTAGGGGGATGTGTACATGACAGGCCGGGTTCACAAAAAATGGGCACAATTAGGCCAGTGTGGTTCTGCCCAAAGAGGACCTCTGCCGCTGGACCAAGGAGAAAGTCAGGGACAACAATGGAGTGTGGACAGGGTAAGTAGAACTCGGGATTTATTTATTTTTTATGAGGGGGGAATCATAGGAAAGATTAGAGAGACAATTAGAAGGAGTTAACAGGGACTCTCCTGAACAGAGACAAGGACAGCCATAAAATCCTGGCACATGCTCTAACTCTTTTCTATCCAAAACTACAAAAAGATGTTTTGGTTGGAGGTTCTTTTGCACTTACTTATATGTTTTTATATTGTGGACAGAAACATCCAGAGCAGACCTGCGTATTTTACGACCCACGGGACGTACCCAGGCCCTTTGTCTGGCCCGCAGTCCGGACATTGATTGATCGCTGACTTGCACTCGGGTATGGCTGTCTGACAGTGGATGCGCCAGCCTCCAAGGCCAGTGCATACACTGCAAGCCATAGCCCAGCGCAGGTCGGCGATCGATCCATGTCCTCTTTTGGTATTCCGCTATTGGTTGCTAGGACCGCTGGCGTGCTAGTAACTTTTTTAATCTGCAGTTTTGATTAAAATAATTCAATGGAGATCCTGCCATAAAGGTCCTTGTTCGGGCTCTTCCTGTTATAGGGTGACAATGCTCTGTCTGTCTTCCGGTTGTGCTCCTGGGTGGACACATGGGCTCTCCGTGGAGACTACAAGTTGCCATTTCAACACACATTAAGCATGCATGGTCCACTGTTGTCCACCGGAATTCGATCCTGAGAAACTCCATGCAACCATTGTTGGAGTGCATGCAGACAGGAAGTCGCTGCAAACAGGTCGCTGGAGATCAGAGCAGGATGAAAAGAGGTGACAACTAGTGTTTTATTTAAACAAAAGGGCAATTGTTTATGATACATGGTGCTTTAGGGAACTAAATACCATTAGGGTGGGGTTTACATGCAGACTACATTGACAAGATAGGGACACCCTTGTAAGGTTGGCCATAAACAGACCAATTTAATGCAATGTTCAGGCTATTTAGGGGCCCCCCTAGGAGGCAATAATATGTGCTTCAGAATCACTTATCACAGTTTGTTGGAAAACCTCAGTGTGACCTTACTGATCCTTTTAGATTATAGAAATAGGCAGGCTGCCAATGCTGAGCCCTCTGTCTCATGTGTCAGTATGCCAGTGTTAGTTGTCTGGCTGTCATGCTCATCCAATGGCTTCAATGCTCTCTGAGTTGCTGACCCAAAACAACGATGAAGATAAAGATTTCTGACTTTCTCTGTTACTTGTTTGTTCTGGCTCTGTGAAGTATAGAAGGCCAGGCAAGCAGTAGTTTCGGAGGGACAAATGCAATGGACGTGACCAGATTGCTGTCATAACAGGTGTACTTTAAGAACCCAGCGGGTCATTGAACTCTCACTTATCAGAGCAGTTATAGGATATCAGTTTTGGGTGTGCACACCCTAATTAACATTTACTTCCACCCCATGCAGCAGATACTAGCACAGTCAAGTGGTTTGATCTCATCTAGTAATGGGTCTATTATGCTGCTAATGGTATTGCTGAATATTGTCCCGATAAATACACTAAACCGGGCCAGTCTGAGAATGACTTTAAGCCACTTTATAAAAACCTCAATTACACATTAAATCTGATTCACTTCTAAATACCACTTGCAGCCACCATCCATTCCTCCAGCAACCAATACACTGATTTAAATGTAATGCTAACACCCAGCTACTAATTCAAGGGGTAATTAGCTGCCTAATTGTGTCTACAGATAAGAAGCATTGATATGATAAACAGGTCAGTGTTCCCCATTGTCCAGATTAATGAGCCCGCATAATTAAATCAATTCTCCCTCCAGGGGAAGCCCAGGGGATGGGGGTGGGGGGCAGTTTTCTTAATTGCATCCAATTTGGGTGTGTGACTGTAGTTTACATTCCAGCACCCTGGAAACTAAATTAGTTTGCGTACAGGACTTTGGTCACATGTCACACTCACCTGGTTCTTCCACAAAATCCCCTACCCTGATTGAATCAACATAGAGATCCTGTGCAAGACCTATTTTTAGGCCATCCATACCATTACTGGCCAAGTATAAAGACCAATTCACTGTGTATGAAATGACAACTAGATATGGTAGATGTGAGCTGTGTCCAGGTCTGTTTCATAGTGCAAGGACTCCCAGCAGCACCCTTCTACCCCAACTCTAGTATTAACAGACCCCCAAGTCCCAAAGGGCCCATGTGCAGCTGTACAGTCTGCAGAAATAATATGTTCAACCCCAGGGCCGGATTTAGTCTTTCTGCTGCCCCAAGGCCAGGTTCCTCAATGTGCAGCCCTCCCTGCCAACCCCCTCCCCCCAATGGAGAATGGCAACCAGACCTGCAGGCTGCATACACGTGATCTCTGCAACATCTCCGGGATCACTTGTACAAACAAGTGGCAGCTTCCCAATTGTTACATTTAGCCCTTCTTGCCCAAAGCAGGGCTAAATGTAGAAAAAACTGCCCACCCAGTGCCCAGAACTGCATGTCCCAGGCTTCAGGTGATAGGAATTTCACACCCCTGCTGCCCCTCTACTCCCTTCTGCCCCAAGGCTGGGCCTCGGTGGCCTTGTGGGAAATCCGGCCCTGTCCACTACTGATCCTGGTCTTAATTTATAGAGATTTCCACCGCAGCCACTACAGCTAAGGACTGGTAAGCTGCAATATATGACGTTTTTGTTTTTGGGTTAAGATATACTTTCATTGGCAGCACTGGCACAGAGGGTAACAAAGGCAATCCTGAATTACTACACACACAAAAAGTATTTGAGAGCAGCCTTAATGCAGGCTTTTCTACACGGAAACATACATGTTGACCTTGACAAAATTCCAGAATACTTGCGAGTTTTTGTACATTGAACTGATAACCCAAACAATGTTATCAGATTTCCCAGCAATCTTCTGTAAACTACAGAACATCTCCTCCCTATGTAAAGGGGATGAGCAGAGGAGGAAGTGTTGGTAGCCCAAGTCAGAAGAGCCTGCTGCTCCATCATAGATACAGTGTGGTGGGTGAGTATTGCCCTAGGACACAATTGTGTTAGGCTAGCCATACACAGCTCCAATTTTGGCTGAATGGTGAATTATCAATGGTGAATTGATAAAGGATTGTAACACATTGGACACTTCATTGGCTCCAAAGGCATATACGCACCAGAATAGTTTCTTACAAAAACAGAAATGCCTTCCTCTGAGTTATTTAGACTGTGCCAAATACTACATTTCCTTCATACACAATACAGGAAGTAATTTCCTAATTTACTTCACACCCAATATAAAAAGTGGTGCCTGCAGGATTTTGGCAGAAAGGGGCAATTTACGGTCTGTATGTGCTCACCTCAATTTGCTTTCCAAAAAAACTATCCTACATGACCACATGGGAGGCTGACTAGGAGTTATTACAGAAATTGGGTTCCCAAATATTTAAGGGAAATGTCCATGTTTGCCTGACTGAAGCAAATGGTAAAGTCTTATACAGGTGGTATCTAGTTCCCTTGTGTTTATCCTATCTTATCTATCACCCTTATGTTTTGGGGTCTGTGGACAATAGGGAACCAAGTTTTACACCTGATGCTCATGTTTTAAATGAATGTACTGCACTTAGAAGCATTGCGGTAAATCACATGCTTTACCCCAATCTAGAGATGTGAATGGACCCCCAATGTAGGTGTGGTAGTTCTTGTGCTCTTCGACTTGGCTATATGTGTCTGTGGCCAAACCTCTACACATCTAATAGTCAGCTTGCCTTACTTGTGGATGGGTACTTTCTATACTCCAGGCTTTAGAAGCACAGGACAGCACAAAAAGAGGCAATATGTAGCCCCAAGGCTGGGCCTCGGTGGCCTTGTGGGAAATCCGGCCCTGTCCACTACTGATCCTGGTCTTAATTTATAGAGATTTCCACCGCAGCCACTACAGCTAAGGACTGGTAAGCTGCAATATATGACGTTTTTGTTTTTGGGTTAAGATATACTTTCATTGGCAGCACTGGCACAGAGGGTAACAAAGGCAATCCTGAATTACTACACACACAAAAAGTATTTGAGAGCAGCCTTAATGCAGGCTTTTCTACACGGAAACATACATGTTGACCTTGACAAAATTCCAGAATACTTGCGAGTTTTTGTACATTGAACTGATAACCCAAACAATGTTATCAGATTTCCCAGCAATCTTCTGTAAACTACAGAACATCTCCTCCCTATGTAAAGGGGATGAGCAGAGGAGGAAGTGTTGGTAGCCCAAGTCAGAAGAGCCTGCTGCTCCATCATAGATACAGTGTGGTGGGTGAGTATTGCCCTAGGACACAATTGTGTTAGGCTAGCCATACACAGCTCCAATTTTGGCTGAATGGTGAATTATCAATGGTGAATTGATAAAGGATTGTAACACATTGGACACTTCATTGGCTCCAAAGGCATATACGCACCAGAATAGTTTCTTACAAAAACAGAAATGCCTTCCTCTGAGTTATTTAGACTGTGCCAAATACTACATTTCCTTCATACACAATACAGGAAGTAATTTCCTAATTTACTTCACACCCAATATAAAAAGTGGTGCCTGCAGGATTTTGGCAGAAAGGGGCAATTTACGGTCTGTATGTGCTCACCTCAATTTGCTTTCCAAAAAAACTATCCTACATGACCACATGGGAGGCTGACTAGGAGTTATTACAGAAATTGGGTTCCCAAATATTTAAGGGAAATGTCCATGTTTGCCTGACTGAAGCAAATGGTAAAGTCTTATACAGGTGGTATCTAGTTCCCTTGTGTTTATCCTATCTTATCTATCACCCTTATGTTTTGGGGTCTGTGGACAATAGGGAACCAAGTTTTACACCTGATGCTCATGTTTTAAATGAATGTACTGCACTTAGAAGCATTGCGGTAAATCACATGCTTTACCCCAATCTAGAGATGTGAATGGACCCCCAATGTAGGTGTGGTAGTTCTTGTGCTCTTCGACTTGGCTATATGTGTCTGTGGCCAAACCTCTACACATCTAATAGTCAGCTTGCCTTACTTGTGGATGGGTACTTTCTATACTCCAGGCTTTAGAAGCACAGGACAGCACAAAAAGAGGCAATATGTTAGTTCCAGCTAAACAAAATTTCCACTTTATTAAATATAATGAAGTATTAGTATTAACTTTATTATAGTATTAACTTTATTATAGTATTCCTCAAAAGCACAAATATCCCTGGCACATGCATGTACAGAGTTCCAGCAGCAGACTACAAGTATCCACAGACATCAGGTGATTGTTGCCCAGACTGGTAGACTTCACCCATCTAATTACTCCTAGGGTTGGATTTTTGGGTCAGGGACTATTGTTTTCTTTGGGATTAGGCCAGCAGCAGGGGTGCCTGGTTGCTCTCCCCTCCCCCCCTTCTATATGTTAACAGGCATGTGTGGACATTAGGACCATGTGTTTTAAAGTCGTTTTAAACCGTAACTAGATGGCATTTAGTGTGCTAAAGCAATGTAGTCCCTTTAAAAATTGCCATGTTTTTCTTTTATCATAAAATACTGTTTTCATCTCTTTTTTTTCATCTCAGTGCTGCTGATCTCCTCCATACTCATTCATTCACTTCTACACGCACTCGCTCCAGTGTCAGCTCCATATCATTCCTTCTGACCGACTTGGTTGACCACCCCTGCATAATGAGTGTCGGCACATTCACTTGTGGTCTTCATGAGGGACACATGTGACAGGTTGACAATGTAGGAGGACAATTGGGAGACAGTTGTCACCCCATAACAGGAAGTGTCTATACAAGAACCCCAATGGCAGAAACACTGTGTATTCTTTTAATGAAAGCTACATATTTAAAGAGATGAACAACAACATTTGAAATCACATTAACATGTAACATTAACAGCTTATATGAGAGTTTAATGATTGAGTTTAGATCAACACTATATGATCAACAATTTATGGACACCTGGCCATCATACCTACCTGTTTGGCCAAAAGTATAAACACAGTCTAAATATTTTCTGTGAAGGGGATTGTTAATGCTACAATATACAAGAAAATGTAGACAATTATTCACTTCAAACCTTAGAAACATAGAACAGTGATGGCAGAAAAAGCGCCCCCTTCCCATCAAAGCTCCCTTTTACATCAGAATTCTCTCTTTCACATCAGAGTCTCCTTTACATCAATAACTCTCCATTACATCAGAGTCACCATTTTTTTCAAGCAGAA